TTTTAATATAAGGCTTTTTAGAAAAATTAAGGCAAGAAGTGAGACTTACTTTTGCATGATTGCTTGTTGACAGCTCTGCCCCTGAGAGTGGGCTGTGAGCTCCTTGGAGGACAGCGCTCTGTATCTTTCTGCTCTGTTGTCGGGTTAGGACCTTGTACAGGTGATAGAGATGACGTGGTGGTACAGCTACATTGCCCAGATCTCCATGGCCCTGACGCAGCTGCTCCTTCACACACGCTAGCTTGTTTACTTCTTACAGAGGTCTTCTGGGTTGATGGCGACTTATTTTGTGAGGATGCTGAGACATAAAGATGATGGATGTGCTGATGATGGTTGTCAGCTACTGAACTGCTGGAACTGCCAGAAACCTCTCTCTCCTCTGTCTTAAGTCTGCAGTGAAAGCCATTATGGCTGGGCGTTGGTGGTGCACACCTTTAATCCCAGCACTCGGGAGGCAGAGGCAGGTGGATCTCTGTGAGTTCGAGGCCAGCCTGGTCTACAGAGCGAGTTCCAGGACAGTCTCCAAAACAATACAGAGAAACCCTGTCTCGAAAAACCAAAAGAAAAAAAGGAAAAAAAAAAAGAAAGCCATTATGCTCATAGGAACTGCCTCCCACATGCACCCAGGACCCAGAATTGGAAAAGGACACACGGAAATGGACAATGACTGTGTCACACAACTATCCAGTTAGTTTCTCCCACCAGTGAGAGGAGAGAAAGTTACAGTGTGGGTAAGACACTGAGGAAACCCTTTGCCTCTTTCTTTCCTAAAGGATGCAGTGCAGAGGAGAACCAGGCAGAGATAGTAGGGGATTGCTGCACCCAGAGGAAGTTAGTTTTATTCCCAGAAGCCTCCAGCATGACGTCTTTCACTGCATATTTTGTTGGGATGCCAGCTTGAATGTACAGTGCAGAACGAACCCACAAAGGGAAAGGTCTGGGCTTGTCTCTGTAGTAGGAACTGCCCTCCCCATGGCCTCCCCATACTCTCCTCCGGGCCTTGGTGCCTTGGAAGCATCAGCGTGGAAAGTTTTGCCTGCTTTGGCTTCCCTTGTTTCTTCATGTGGGTGTATGTTGTGTGCCTGACTCTGTCATGAGGAGAGGAGTGCAGGTCGCCGTACCTGCTGTTGAGTCTCAACACGGTGAGACATGTGCCTGTGGTTACAGGCCTGTCCCAGGAAAACTTGTCATACTGGATATGGAAATTGTTAGAGCAGAGTGGGCGGCTCGGTTGTCTGATTTTCATGGGGATACATAGGTGGCTTTCCCCGGGGAGTGCTGGACCACAAGGAAACCATTTGCATGGATCACTCCTCACCTGGCAGATCTGGAGACCTCAGGCAAGAACGTCATCTTCACAGACCCAGGGCCTTCAAAAGGAGGCTCTCTGTGAAGAGCCCACCGAGGGAAGAGAGAAGCAGTGGCAAGCTTGCCTGGCTCCATCTTGTAGTCCCAGCCCCACCCTCTCCATTACTTTCCAGTTTTTTAAGCCAACGTTGCTTAATTTCTCCTTTGTCCCTTGGTAGTTCTGTCTCTTTCCCTTCCCTCCCTCTGCCCCTTCTCTACCCCCTGCTATTTTATATCTACGTATCTATCATCTATCTGTTTTTGAGACAAGGTCTCATTATGTAGCTTTGGTTAGCCTGGAACTTTCTATGTAGATGAGGCTAGCCTCAAACTGACAGGTCCACCTGCTGGGATTAAAGGTGTGTGATCCCCTCCTGCCTTAGCCCCTTTCACCCTTTATCAGGACGGTCCTCTGACTTGTCCTTGATCCATGGCTTTGGAAGGACTTACTTATCTAAGCCCCAGCACTGCAGTAGGGAAAGGTAACTGGCTTCCCTACAGCCCACACCTGCACCTGCCAAAGGAAGGTGTTTTCCTCTGATGTAATTACATAAGGATTAATGATGGGTAAATGTCAATGTTAAGAGATTTAATTTGGCTAAACATTATACAGCATGTCTACTTAATCAGAGGGGTTTATCTCATCCTCCCTGTTTTCTCTTTCTTTTCCTCGTGCTACAAAATTTCCAAGAACAGGCAGCTATGCGCTTTTCGGCTGATTTCCTTGTTCTGAGCCCATAGGACATCGTGAGACCAGCATTCTTATGATACTTTGGTAACTTCTACTTCAGGGGAAACAAAGAGGAACTAGATGCATGCAAATATAAAAGCAAAGCAGATATTCACAGGGTTCACTTCATACCTGCCCTCTCCCGGCAAGGAGTTTCTAGATCTCAGTTTGCTCTTTTCCAGCACATAGCGGAGGGGTCTTTACAGCTCTTTGTTTGTGAGAGTTTTACCCCGAGGACAAATAGTCTAATGTGTCCCTTTCTCGCCTGGACATCTCAGGCCTTTAGGAATCCAGTTTTGAATTTTTGAGATGTGTGTGAGACACACCTATGACATGCAATGGTTATCAATCTTCCTCAAAGAGCATGGTCAGCAATGAAACAGTCATTGTTTCTAGGCTCCAGGATGATTTCTAGCTTGCATGACAAAGTTTTACTTCTCCCGTCTTCATGCTGACTCTGGCAGCCAGCATCCTGTGCTTTTTCTGGATCTTATGATTTTTATCTACAGACAGGCTCATAATGCTGTCCCATAAACACTAGAGAATGGGCTTGGAGGAAAGAAACTTGTCTTGTGAACTACTTTTGCTCGATGACAAGTGAATTGATTAAGAGAGTACGTTCCCAGTTGGGAAAGACAGGTACATTCATTTTATGGTTTCTGGTTGTTGGCTATTTTCTTTATTCAGAAAAGAAAGGAGAAAAAGCCTCTCTCCAGGAGCCCATCTGTTGTTACATTTCACAGGAATTACATGCACTAGGAAATATAGCTAAACACACTTTGTTCACATTTTCCCTACCTTTGGACTGATACCAGTCATAAAATCCTGTCTTGTATAGACAATCTGTTAAAGTAAGTTACTAAGAAACCCAAGCGGGTGTAAAGGTCACTGTGAGTATGAGTGAGCTCCTGTTTTGCTGTGGTTATAACCAAACCCAAAGCGACTGAACTGGTGTTTTATAGTCCATGCTTTACATTATATGACTGTGCAACTGCTGCCAGCAAAAGCCTGCTTCCGCCTTTGGAACTCTCGTCACGTTCTCATTTTGCTCAGAACCCTGGGGTTTGCAGACAGGTTGGTTTAAACATACCATCTCCCCCAAGGTGTACTTTGAGAGTAGACGAGCAAGGGAAAGGAAGCTGGAAGGAACTGGGTTCCCAGAAAGCCCGAGAAAATTTTATCCGGTGACAGGAAAGGCATACAAGTTGAAAACCAGAGCAAGTGCACGCAAGGGAGGCGGTTTCTCTCCTTTGTCATCTTCTGGGCGCCGTTTATGCATCAAGCATGCATTTTGTTAAGTTCTTCACAGACATTATCTCATTTAATCCTTGTGGGTTTCAGTGAAATAACAAGACCTTGGCACGAGTAAGGTCCATGACTTGCTCAAGATCAAACAGTAAGGAATTAGGTGATACAGCATTCTAGTCGAGTGACTTTTGACTATTAAGACAGCTCGTGCCTGAAGTCACCTTTTCTATTCCTGGTCAGTCTCCCCATCCCTCCAGTTTTATGTAACAATGATAGGCAAATAGGGGCATCTGTTGGATTTAGTTGTGTTTTCCATGGGAAGGTAAGAATGCTGGAAACTTTGATGCTCTCTGTGGCCTCAGCTCAGTCAAAGAGCTGTTGTTCTCGTCTTGATAGAGAAAGAATAATGTGCGCATGCTCCTCTGGCCTCTCTCTGCTGCTGAGCAAAGGTGAGTCATCACATTTGTTAAAGTCGGTCCTCATTTATTTTCCTTCCACGTCCAGAAGCACCCAAGCACCCATTATTGTTTTTCACAATCTACTCTCTCTCTCTCTCTCTCTCTCTCTCTCTCTCTCTCTCTCTCTCTCTCTCTCTCTCTCTCTCTGTCTCTCTCTCTCTCTCGGTTTGAGACAGGGTTCCTCTGTAGTTTTGGAGTCTGTCCTGGAACTCAATCTGTAGACCAAGCTGGCCTTGAATTTACAGAGATCCACCTGTCTCTGCATCCGGAGAGCTAGGATTAAAGGCGTGCACCACCACTGCCCAGTTCCACCATCTCATTTTTGTTTTTAAAATTGTTTGTTACACCTCGTGTGAGTGAGCATGCCACTAAGCACGTGTGATGCCAGAGTTCCCACTGGGAGAGTTGATTCTCTCGTTCCATCATTTGGTTCCTAGGGATTGAACTCAGTCCTCTGGTTTAGCAGCAAGCACCTTTACCTGCTGAGCCCTCTTACAGGCCCTCACCCATTCCTGTGGAAAGAATCTGAAGTCTTGCTTATATTTGAAATAAGAATCCACACTTCCTCAAACCCCCTTTTCTCCTTCAATCCTAAGCCTGAAGACAAAGGACTCTTTAAGAACTAGTCACACGACTCTGATCGTGTCTCTATCAATGCTCTTAAACACATCTCCAGCACCATTTTGTCTGAGATGTAGTATCACTTTCCTGAAGTCATTTGGGTCAAATGACTGCATCCTTCTCAGTCAGACGTCATTAGAAATAAATTAGTTTTTTTTTCCTAATTAGAAATTGGTACCAGGTGACTAGGGGAGATGGCTCAGCTGGGAAAGTGCTTGCCTCACAAGTGTAAGGACCTGAGTTGGGATCCCCAAAAATCCTGCAAAAAGCTAGGCATGGGGCATCTTCCGTAATCCTGACATGGAAAGCAGAGAGAGGTGGGTACCTGGAGACTTGGGGGTGTAGACTGTATGGCAAAGTTCTGTATCAAACCCAAGCAAAACTATGGAAGGTTCCTGAGGACCAACACCCAAGGTTGTCACCTGATGCCATCAAATGTGCTCCCCCTCCATGGGAACACACAGATATGAATGCACATAGCACCCCTCCCTGAACTAATTGTACTTGTAGGAGCATGTAGTTTAGCTGGGGATCATGTAAAGCCGTATGGTTTTCATTATTGAACATGGAGGAGCAGAATGACTGCAAGCAGGAGTGTGTTTTGGTGGGGATGGGCCAGTGGGGTAGTTTATCGCCACCACCTGGAAGAACTGGAGGGGGTAAATTAGTCACCATTTGATCTAGATCTCGAGGGAAGCAGGTGAATTCAGTTAGGTAAAAATGGGGCAAGGAAGAGATTGCAGCCCGTCGAATAAGAGAGAAGCTGGACGACAGGACTGGAGTTGACATGTAGCAGGGACATTAGGGAATCCCGGGAAAGATGAACAATAGATGCTGCTGTCAGTTGTTGGCTCTGAACTCCTGGTTTTCCCCGGAAAGAGTTTTCTAGGCTTGCTTGGTGAAAGGAAGGGATCCCGGGAAGACCACCAGCAAGCTATGGAAGAAGGTACATGTCCAGTCTGTCTCCCACTTCCGATGTCCTAATGAACGAATGTCATGAGCAGTTCTCCATGCTCCTCTTGCTGAGCAAATGAAGTTGCGTATTCGAGAAAGATAAGGTGGCTAAAACGAAGACTCTTAGAAAAAGCGTCTCAAGGTAAGAAAGAATTGCCAGTTTGCACTGAGTATTTCTTTACAGCAGATGTCCTGAACAGTGGAGGATGACTTGAGGCAACCCAAGATGTGAGGGCTGTCCTGAACAGTGGAGGATGACTTGCGGCAACCCAACTGCCCACTGGATGCTAGTAGCATTTCCCGCTTCCCCGAAATCGCCTCCAGTTGGGAAAACCAAAAGTGCCTCTAGATATTGCTCAATACTCACTCCCCTGAGTAATGGGGGCAAAATCTTGTCCAGTTGAGTCTCGCCTCTTCCAAGTAGATAGAACAAACTACTAACAGGCATGCTTTCTTTGCCTGGAAACTTATTGGGTTGAAGTTAAAAATTTATGATGTGAGAAAGGTGTGGAACTTGAGAAAACACAGTGTCTCTGTCCTGAAAGGATACAGATATGTATTTTCGCTGGATCTTCTCCCTAGGGCCCAGAACAGCTCCCCGAACCTAGAAAATGGTTGAAACGTGCTGAATAAATGTGGTTTTTTTCCTTTTTGTCTCAGTCTGCCTCTTGTCCTTAGAGAAGAAATCATATGGATCAGTGGCTATTTACTCATAGCTCTAACTCTCACTGGCTTATTGTGTTCTATTTGAGAGTCACTTGAATACTGCGGAGGTAACCAAGGATACCAGTATGGTCACATGGGCAGACATATAGGGAAAGAATAGAGCAGCAAATGTCACGAGGCCTGTTTTCCAGATTTGTTGCCAGAGTGTAGGGTTTGGAAGAGTGTATAGAAGAGGAGCAGAGCCTCCCTCATCCTGGATATTATTTATAGCACCCATCCTTGCTAATTATTAGGCTAGCAATGTCTCTTGTCCTTGAATGTTGTATTTTGCCCTAACCAGGGGCAAGGTTGTTCCTCCCTGTCTAGAGGCAGGGTGCCTGGCTCAGAGAAGCTGTGCTCTGCTTGGTCTTTTTTTTTTTTTTTTGAAGACAGGATATCTCTGTATTGTTTTGGAGGCTGTCCTGGAACTGGCTCTGCAGATCAGGCTGGCCTCGAACTCACAGAGATCTGCCTGCCTCTGCCTCTTGAGTGTTGGGATTAAAGGCGTGCGCCACCAACACCCCGCCACTCTGCTTGGTCATAATCATTAATTTAATTTGGGATAGGATCTCCCTTTGTAGCCTCTAACTGTCATTAAGCCTCCTGTGTTTGGCTTCCCTATGTTGGGATTACATGCATGTGCCTCTCCACCATGCTCAACTCCACCATGCTCAGCTCCTAGTTTTTTGGTGAAGGTCTTGGCTAGTAGGGAGATTAGATGGTCCACGGGCTGTGAGCTTTCTTGGACAAGGATGTAGGTGACCATTCTCTAGCTATATGAAGGCAAAGTAAATGATAAAATCAAGCAGGTTCACTTTCTCCTCTCAGGACTCTTTGGTTTCCCCTATATCTTTCAACTTTTCCCCCTCATAAGCAGCACATTCTCTTGTATTTAACATATTCCCTGGGATTAATGATGAGACTAAAAAAAATCCAGCCAGAGGATTCAAGGGAACTTCTTTTTGAAGGGATTTATGTAAAAGATCTTCAATGCAGTGTCCTCCAAGGAAGGCAACTTTCATCGCATCCTCCGGGACAGGCCAGGGTAGGTTCACCTGTTCTGTGATACTCCAGCATCTTCTGCATCCCAGACTCAAGAGCTGAGCAGAAATCTTCATACGGCTGCTGGGAAGCATCTCAGGCATAACGTATTTCAAGACAAGGGAATGGCTCACACACCCCCCAAACCCCTTCCTGTGTCTGACCCCACTTCCTTCAAATGCAATTTCCCCCTCCCAGTGGCCAAGTTCAAGCCCTCAACCTTGACCACATTCTTTCTTTCTCATTTGCCACCTTCCCCTAACCAACCTTGTTGGCTTTCCTTGAAAAGTACTTTAAGGATCTAAACACTCTTTACCATCTGTGTTGTTACCACGTGGGCCTGAGTTACCAAAACCCTCCACATAGTAGCAAGATGATATTTAAAAGTGATAAGTAAGGTTTTGCTCCTCCTCTGCTCAAAATATCCCCAAAGCCTCTTAGCTCATAGTAAAGAACACATCCGCTTATGCACGGCCCTGCCCTTCACCCTTAACTATTGCTGTTCTCTGCCACCTTCCCACCCTCTGCTTGCTACTTCTAACATGAGCCATGTTTGCGGCTGGCCGAAAAGAGTACATGTAACATGACTGCATGGATTTCTCCAGATAGTTTGTTATTTTATTCGCCTCCCTTGGGTCTTCCCGAATCAGTCCTGTCTTGATGATGCTACTTAAATCTATAGTTTCCCACACTGAGTTTATCCCTTGACATTTTAAAAAATAGCACAAATTAGCTTCTACTACTGTTTCACTTGTTATTTAACACTTTAGTCTTGCTTTCTAAACTGACAGCCTCACAAGGATGGGGGATCCTTGCTTATTCCAAAGTCCTCAGGGTCTTTTGTACAGTGTGTGCTCACAAACGTGTGTGGTTGACGCAGTGTCTGTTTCAAAGCACGCATGTATTTGCTTCATCTTATTCGGTATGTCATCTTGACTAGAACATGGTGAATAAAAGGGTCTACTTTGGGTAGTGATGAGTACCAGACTATTGGCTAGTACCATGCTCAAAATATGACCATGAAATCCAGGACCCACAGAACGTCTTTTGCCCTTACGCAAACTTGATAAGGTGAGCTTGAGAATTAAGTTGATGGTACAATTAGAGAGTCTAGGGAGTGTGCTCTATTTTTCAGGGTGCCCCCCTTCTCTTGGAGTCAGCTCGGAGGCTGGGGTACAATAAGGGGCAAAGGGAGCATTTTGCTGACTTTGTTTCTATGTTTCTATGTATCTGAAGTTAAGCAAACAAAAGGCTTCATTAGAGGTCCCAGGACATAGATTATCATCATCTTCATCTTATGATGAGAAAGTTGAGGCTCATGGATGCTTAGACTATTGCCTCAGGTTCATGTTCCTACCTATGTAGCCAGGCAAGAGGTGTGCTTACAAGCAGTCTGTTTCAGAGATAAAACAATGGCATAAAAACCTACGTGATACAAGCATCATCAATAATGATGTTGCGTATTTCTTCCTGGAATATCGGTTCATGACTAGTTTCTAGCTGTACCTTATGTTGAAAATTACCAGTTAAAAATATCTAAAGTTATCATAAATGCTGTTGCAATTTCCCCTTGTTGGCTTATAATACTTGTTATCAGGTCCAGTATAAGTGTCAAAATAATGGATATTCTTCCATTTGGCTTTTTGAGGTAGCATCATTTATCACAGAATGGGCTGCCATAGTTCAGGCTACCCTCATAGAAAACCTCCTGCCTCAGCTTCCCAACTGGTAAGATTACATGTATGAGCCATCTTGCTCATAAATTCTCTTAGATACTTAGAGTCTTACATGTCCTCTGTTCTCTTAGAAAAAAAAAGATATAGGATATCTAAGATTTAGTCCAGTTGGTGGAGTGCTTTCCCAGTACGAACAAAGTCATGGATTTGGTCCCAAGAACTGTGTGAACTAGGCATGGTGGTGCATTTCTGTAATCCTAACATGGGGTGGGGATTGCAAAGGCAAGAGGATTGGAAATTCAAAATCATTCTCAACTACATCCAGTCTGAGACCAGGCGGGGCTGCAGGAGACCTTGCTTCAACCCTTGTATTTGTACTTGTATCTAGGGCATAATAAATATATTATTTTGTCACCATCAAATACCTGAGTAGCTTCTCGAATTAAAATGAAGCACAATGTGATGGTTGGATTGCACTGTAGACAGACATGCGGAAACTCAGTGACCTGACTTGCCATTAGGGAATGCCTCAGAGCACAGCTTCTGAGAGTACTGTATGTAAATGGCCTTTGAAGGAAATGTCACAAGTTTCACATCTACGGTCCTTTCAGCTGACACTCATGCTTGCATGCATCCTTAAGAAGGACCAACTTAATCCGTGAACAAACAACTCAGTCATTGAGATGACAGAGAAGATGAGGTCACATACAGGCCGGTCAACTTTACTCTATGACTGGACACCACACTTCTGACCAGACTAGACTAGCCAGAAAGGTGATCTTAGATGGTGACTAGTGGAAATCCACATACCACTAGACAAACAATTCAGCTCCAATTTCAAAATCAAGCATGGTAGCTCATAACAATGATCTTAGCCTTCATGGGGCTGAGGCAGGATAGTTCCAGGCTAGCCTGGGCTGCAGAATGAGACCCTGTCTTAAACAAATACCTTCATGGTGAAATTACTTCATTTATATATAGAAGAAACATTAATATAGTTATAGATAGATTAGAAATCCTCAGTAGTTATATGGTTTATGAAAAAAACTTTTAAATGTTTTCAAGTCAACATCTTCATTTGGTTATTCCAAGGTCAAACATGCTGATTTAGTTGTATCTGAAGCCATGGTGGATTCCAACAAAATGTCTCAGGCAGGACTTTTTAAAAAGATATTTATTTCCTATTAGTTTTTGTCCTAGTATGGAATCCATGACTTTTTTCAGGCTATGCAGGCATTTTAACACTTGGTCACACATGAAGCATCATGGGAATTGTTCTAACACTTACACCATTTCAGGATATGGGTTTATTAATATTGACAAACATAGTTTAAAAATATCTTAAAATCAGCTCCTCCTTCATTATAGACAAAACTGGTTAGTCTTACATGTAGAGGCCAAATTGTGTGCGTGTGTGTGTCTGGGTACACATGTGTGGTTCCCAGAATATCTTACCAGTAGGGTCAGCAAATACAGAAAATAAAGATTATCTCCAATAAAGAATGGTAGGTTGGTCTGATGGACTATTGCTGCTGGTTAAATTAGGCCCTTCAAAAAGATGTGATTACTTCTAATACCTATGGATATGACATTATTTGGAAATAGAAACTTGTTGGAGTAATTAAGTAAGATGAAGCTATTCTGGAGTCATGTGAGTCCTAAATGCAATAAGGCTGATTGCCCTAGTTCAGAGAACACACAGAGAAGAGGTACACACATAGATGAGAAAGCACATCGAGAGAGAGAGAGAGAGAGAGAGAGAGAGAGAGAGAGAGAGAGAGAGAGGAAGAAGAAGAAGAAGAAGAAGAAGAAGAAGAAGAAGAAGAAAACCATGTGAATTCACAAACATGAAACGCAGCCCTATGGTAACATGATTGTCAAACTATAAGCCAAACAACAGCAGATTGCTGGCAACCTCAGGAATCGAGGAAGAGGCACGAAAGCATTCTCCCCTAGAGCCTTCAGAGAGAGCATGATTTGGGATTTCTAGCCTTCGGAACTGTGAGCAAAAGCATTTCTGTTGACTTTGTTATGAGCCCTGGGAAACACATCAATATGTCTCAGTGAATGTGGGTGAAAATAGGACAATGGGAAGATCTCAAAATGGATCCTGAATTGTCAACTGCTATGAATATTCTAAGAACTTTCTGTCTTCTGGGAGTGCATCTCTACAGCTGTGCCTTTCTTGGTGGGCTTTCATAGGGAAGGGCTTGACCCTAGCTAGCCAAAGGGGGCTCTGAAAGTGCCATTGACAGGTGTAACCTATTGACTGATCATTTGGCCCTGTATATGTGTAGCAAATCTTCTTTGTAGAAAGATAGACAGGGTAGTGCTTGCCTCTGTTACAAGTGGTGGCTTCTTTGTATGACTTGGGCCCTGAAGTAGCTTGATGGATATTGAGAGAATCTTGTACTAGAACAAATAGGGAGTATTCTAGATGAAAAATACAGTCAGAACTGGGTGTTGGCGGTGCATGCCTTTAGTCCCAGCACTCAAGAGGCAGAGTCAGGAGGATCTCTGTGAGTTCGAAGCCAGCCTGGTCTACAAGAGCTAGTTCCAGGACAGCCTCCAAAGCCACAGAGAAACCCTGTCTCAAAAAACCAAAAACCAAAACAAAACAAAACAAAAAATCCAGAAAGAAAAATACGGTCAGTAGTTATACCTAACTTGTTCATGTTGTACACAGAAGATAAAAATACAGATTCTTCCCCCAGAACTTTTTCTTTGATGTGTACCGTCTGGTTTTCCTGGAATATGGATGTAGACAGACAAAGAAAGCTCTGAACAATTCAAAGTTAGCTATAAACTGGGGTATCAGATTAGTAATCAGTTGAATGGACGTGGAGAGGTAGAAGATCTCTTGGAAAACAAGGAAACAGAGATAGGCACAGAGAGATAAAACAATTCAAGCGTAGACAGGTCCATCAAAGGATGCTGTTGCGGTTAGAAGAGAGGAGGGATTCACGCTGCATTTATCACAAAGTTGAGCCTTGGAGAATGCCTTCCTCTGCTTCCTGTAACCATAATGAATTTCCTGAAATGACATTTTGTAGGAAATAAAAATTTATTTAGCTCACTGTCCTGGAGACTAGGAACCCAAGGTCACCGTGCTATCACTTGCGTGCAAACTAAAGAGGTTTTTGCTTCATCATAACATGGGTAGCCTAGCAGAGGGCAGAGCACGTTTGCCGGCTCAGGTGCCTCCCTCTCTCCTCCCCTCTCCCCTTCTCCTCCCCCATCCCCTCATCCTCTTTCCTACTCCATGTCTTTTTCACCCTCCCTTACTTTCTCCTCCTCCCTCCTCTCTTCCTCCCCCTCCTCTTCCTCCTTCTCCTCCTATTTCTTTGACAGTCCCATTATGTAGTCCACACTGAACTCAAACTCAGAATCTTCTTGCCTCCATCTTGAGTGTTGGGACTGCAGAGAGATGCCACCGTAATGAGTTCGCCCTCATTTTATAATGCCATTAAATTTGGGGGCCTCTGGTGGTTTGAATGAGAAAGCCCCTGTGGACGGAAGTTTCTGTCCCACCTGGTCCCGCAGCACATGGAAATACATCCCATAGGCTCATATTTTTCAATGCTTGGTCATTAGGGAGTGAGACTACTTGAGATGGATTAGAAGGTGTGGCCCTGGAGGAAGTGGGTCTTTGAGGTTTCACAAGGCCATTGCAAGCCCAGAGTCTGCCTTCTGGCTGCCTGTGGATCTCAATGCAGAGCTCTCTGAGCTGCTTCTTCAGCACCAGGTATGCTCGCAAGCGGTCAAGCTTCCTGCTGTGATGAAAATAGACAAAACCGTTAAAAGCAAGCCCCCAACGAAATGCTTTCTTTTGTAAGAGTTGGCGTGGTCATGGTATCTCTTCACAGCAATAAATCGGGGCCCTCTCATCGTATCATCTAATCCTAATTACATCTAAAAGGCTCCAAATATCATGAACATAAAATTTTGGATTTAATTTCCAATATCTGAACTTTTGGAGGGCGTGTTCCGTCAACAGGGTTATTTAAATGATGTCTATGAAAGCCTTTTAGTTAGCACCTGAAAGAAACCTGGCATTTAGACATTCATTCATTCATTCACTTATTGATTCCCTCAATAAACGCCCCAGAAGAAAAGTTTAATCTGAAAGTATAGGCTTGAAAATAGTTTTAGATGTTAACGTTGTACCACAAACCAGCATTTGTGAAACGTCTACAATCTGCAAGGTACTGTGGTATGTGAGTGAGTATATTCAGGGTACTATTTTGGTTCTTAAGTTCTTCAGTCTCTTGTAAAGGGAAGTACATAGGAATGAAATGTAGAACTAGTAAAATGCTTAAATCTTCGAAGATTCGTATGAATTCTTTGAGAATTTTGTACAATGTGTTTTTGTCATATTCAATCCCCATTCCTTCTCCTAACTCCTCCCAGACCCACCTCTACCTCTTTAATGTTCCAACTTAATTCACCCCCCCAACTCATCAAATCTAAATTATGCTTCTTGCATATTCTTAGTTATGGATTCAACCATTGGAGTGTGCTTGACCTACCAAAGGCCATATTTTAAAAGAAAACTGACTCTTCTCTCCCAGAAGCTGTCAATTGCTGATAACTCTTCAGCCATGGACAGTTCAGACAATAACAGAATTAATAAAACAAGGTGATAATGCCAGTTGTAATGGTCAGTTCTATAAATTGGGGCAAGATGTCATTTTAACCAGAATCGTAAGGCTTCAGCGAAAAAGGTTGGCTTTGAGTAGAAAGGATGGATGAGTTTGCAGTCCTAGTGCAAATGGGGGGAGGTGACAATCTGCTGTCCTGTTTATGAGCTAAGGAGTAAATTTCCATGGTGGTACAAAGGTTTTTCAGAATAGTGCTTTCTAGTGGTGTGTGTGGGTCATGCTTATCATCTAACACTTGGGAGCTTAAGACAGGGCATCAGGAGTTCAAGATCAGCCTTGGCTCCTTAGCAAGTTTGAGGGATACCTGGACTACATAAAACCTTTAGGTGAAAAACCACTAAAGAAAAATAAATAAATAAATAAGTAAATAAATAAATAAATAAGAAAACCACTAAAGCGAAGCATGTTTTCTTTCTTTTTTTCTTTTTTGGTTTTTCGAGACAGGGTTTCTCTGTATTGTTTTTGAGGCTGTCCTTAAACTTGCTCTGTAGATCCGCCTGTCTCTGCTGTCCGAGTGCTGGGATTAAAGGTGAGCGCCACCAACGCCCTTGGGAAAACCTGTTTTCTGACACATGAAGAAAGATGTGACATTCAAATTCATCATCTGTAGGGAGGTTTTACTGGACCACTCCTGTGATTATTCTTCCAGCATGGTTGGCAGTGTTCCGAGAAGCAATGGAGTTGAGTACTCTGGACTCTATGGCCCGCGGAGGAGCTCTTTGTAGAAAGTTTGATGAGTCCAAGTGCAAATGATGCAGAGAAAGCATCACAGTCTTTGGGATGCCTAGGGCATAACAGCCCATTCAAGGAAAATGAAGAGGCAGAAGGAGTATGGAGGGTTCTCATGGCAGCCCCAGAGAGAGGAAAAGGGGTGTGAAAATAGTGCCCTTGGGTGCCAAGAGAATGCAGAAATTTATTTGAGAGGGCAGGAGCTGCTCTGTCAGTCATCACCTGTGAGCTTTGATTCAAGTTTAGGTTTAGGAAACAATTAGATGATTCCCTGTATACAAATGGGAACAAATAGCAGTTAGAGAAGGAAACAATGAGAAGTCAGAGACACATCCAAGCAATATTAAAAATCAAGAAAAGGTAATGCATGTGTTATAGGTCTGAGCACTTGGTATTGGATAACTGAATAGGGCTCATCCCTCCAGAAGACGGAGCCCAGTCTTTCAGCCATCATTAACGGCCTGCAATTCTTCAGTTAGGGGTGGAGCCTTGTAGGACTTTTCTCATTCACATTGGCATGCCAGCTGGTGTCATTATGTTCAGCCCTACACACACATGAACAACAGTAAGCGGCCTCAGCAGGCTGCATTTATATGTATACATGTAACAGTAATAATAAATAAAAATAGTTACATTCATTAGAGATTTTAGAGGGAAACTTCAATATCTTTTTGTTTTTTTGTTTTTTTATTTTTGTTTTCGAGACAGGGTTTCTCTGTGGCTTTGGAGGCTGTCCTGGAACTAGCTTTTGCAGTCCAGGCTGGTCTCCAACTCACAGAGATCTGCCTGCCTCCGAAGTGCTGGGATCAAAGGCGTGCACCACCACTGCCCGGTCAGAAGCCTCAATATCTTTACATGTTGGATTTCTAAAAATAAAATGAGGGTAAATGTATTAGCAATGGAGCACGAGATTTCAAAGGGCTCTTGTCTGAAAGCTGTGAAGTCTAATTATAATCGATATAAGCATTATATATATGTTCGTCTGTGTATGTGTATATAGATACGTAAACATGAGTGAAGTCTGTGAAGGATATATGTATATAAATATGTAAACATAAATGTATATATTCCTCACAGCCTTCCACTCATGTGTCTCCTACTAGAAAGCAGGCAGGATAGAAGAACCTGGAATAACCAAAAGCGTCTAAGTGACACACTCAACTGAAAATGACCATCCTGCCAGGCTGAGACGCATTCCTTCTATGTCCCATAAAGGGAGCATGCAGTGTGTAGGTGTCACCAAGCCCCATTCCTGTGACTAGTTGGACGTTGCAATGGATCATGGTACTTTTATTGCTGAAATTAGGTAAGAACTTGTCATTTTTTCAATACAATGCTCTAGAAATGACTAACAATTATCTTGAAACATTTTATATTTGTTTCGGTCGTATTTACCACTCTACAACTTTCTAATGGCATCATGCTAGAATTTGCCAGTGGGAACAGTAGAGTGGAATTTGCAGTTTGGAAGTTAAAACTCCCTCTCCTTTTTCTTTTCTTCTTTTCTTTCCCCTTCTTTGTTTCTTTTCTTTCCCTCCTCCCCTCCCTTCCTTTCTTTCTTCTTTCTCTCTTTCTTATTTTTTGACACAGTGTCACTATTCAGCACAAATTGGTCTCAGTGCTTCATAATTGCTACATCCCTGCTTCCTGAGTGATGGATGGGATTACAAGTGTGTGCCAACACACTTGCCTGGTATAGTTTCAATTTCTCCTTCTCCTCCAAACTCAATTTATCTTTTCTTCTTCTTCTTCTTTTTTTTTTCCAAGACAGGGTTTCTCTTTATTGCTTTGGAGGCTGTCCTGGAACTTGCTCTGTAGACCAGGCTGGCTTCGAACTCTCAAAGATCCGATTGCCTCTGCCTCCTGAGTGCTGGGATTGAAGGCGTCTGCCACCACTACCAGGCCCAAACTCAGTTTCTTAAGTCTAACGTATTAGTCAGTATAATATTTAATCTTTCAATACAACTTTTAAAAGAATCTTTAAAAAATATCCTTGGAAGCGGCATATAGTAGTTATACTAGCATGTGGGAGGTCTGAGGAAGAAGGATTGACTCCCTGGGGCCAGCCTGGGCTACACAGTGAGATCCTGTCTCAGAAAACCAAAATGTAACCAAATCAAAAAGAAGAAAGAAGGCTGGTGATTTCACTCAGTGGGAAAGTGATTGCCTAGTACTCATAAGGCCCCGGTTCCAATTCCTAGTACCACAGATGAAATAAAGGAGGGAGAGGAAAGTGGGGGAAGAGACAGACAAGATACAGAGACACACAGACAGACAGAGAGAGGGGGGGGGAGAGAGAAAGACAGACAGACAAACAGAGGCAGACAGATGAGGGACAGAGACAGAGCGAGACAGGGAGAAAGAAAGGCAGAGACAAAGACAAAGAAAGGCAGAAAGAGACCAAGACACAGAAAGACAGAGCCACACAAAGACAGACAGGTAGATGACAGAGACAGAGACAGAGAGAAAAGAAGAGATACAGTTGGCTTTGACATTTCAAAATGAACAAAAGAAGCAGAAGACAAAGGCCCTTAGAGTTATGAAATTTATTTCTCCAGACCTCAGAGGACATTTGAACACCATTTGTAAAGAATTCTAATCCTTGCAGAAACATTTGCTAGGGCTGGGGAGAGAGTTCTTTGGTGAAAGTGTTAGGAAGAGAAACCCAGGACTCACAGAATTGCCAAACACAAGTTCTAAGCCTGGACCTCGCAGGCCCGCAAGGTTTTCACCAAACAGTGTGTTGACTTGAATAAGCATAGCATTTATTGAAAGTCAGCAAGCACATATAGTAGAAGATCCAGTTTTCACTTCTCAAAACAAAAAGATTTACAAAGCAGAAAGGCATTCCTTGGCTTTTCAGATCCGGGTAGGGTCTGTTACAGAAGAATTTCATTTGTACCATGAGTGAAGAAAATGTATGCTACAGGGGAGAGTTCTGATAATATCCTGTTTTTGCACTGTCATTTTCCCCAAGTATTTTAGCGTTCGAAGATGTTGTCTTTCTGGTTTTTGCAGCATGTTTGGAAGGAGGAAGGACACGCTGTTCTCACCTCACAGTGAAGTGGAGGTGAGCAGTGGCTTGCGTCAGATTCCCCGGAGACATGATCGCCAACAGTTTACTTGTCCATCGTGATGCTGAGACACTTCTTGTAAATCGTTTTTCTTGTCTGTAGTTAATGACTACACTCTTGATTCCTGCTTATCTATTTGAAAGGGAAGAAGATCAGGGCATGGCCTCCAATGGTAGATGATACAAAAATACCTCGGATTTGGCCATGGAATATGTTTTTGTACTTGCGCTGGAACCTGGGTGTGTCTAGAAATTTATAGCATTCCAGTCCAACAGAAGAAACTATGCAAGGGGACCCAGGGTGGGGACTGTCTCAGTGCTCTGAATTTCTCTCTCTTGTCTCCTAGCCAACCCCCAGCCCCTCTCACCCCTCCCCTTGGAGGTCAGGCCAGATGTGTTATCTGGTTGGTCTGTTAAAAACAGCTGGCATAACCCGCGCACCCCCACCACCTAAAATCATCCATTTTCCTGAGAGTGGGAGAAGTTGGTATCTTACATTAAAATATGTTACTCATTTCTCTAGGTTCCCCCTATTCTTTCCTGTTGCGTTGGGATTTGAACTCCGGGGCCTTGTTTCTGATACCATATGTGGGGTCTTAAGTTTTCTTTCTTTCTGTTGTGTATGCACAAACCTAGAAGCTAACACACTCTCTACATAAGCACTCTAGTACTGAGTCACATACTTCCAGCCCTGCTAATGGTTTTTGAAAGTTTAAGCTTTTTTTTCAGATTTTTAAAATGTGTTTATATGCCTGCCATGTATATGATGGGGGTGCCCCAGAGGTCAGAAGAGGGTCTTACAGCCCCTGGAGCTGGAATTACAGGTGCTCATGAGCCACCTGGCCTGTGTGTTGGACCCTAAGTTCAGGTCCCCTTGAAGAGCAACAAGTGCTCTTAACTGTTGAGCCATCTCTCTCAAAGCAAAATTTTCATGAATACATGATAAGAAGAATGTAAGAAAGACATTGAAGGTTGTTGTTTCAGATAATGAAGTATACTCAAGACCTCAAAGGGAGGTGAAGATGCTTTACTCTAAATTTTTATGATGAACGAGAATAAATTCCTTATTAAGATTTATTTGTTCATTCATTCAAAAACCTAAGCATTGCTTAACAGCTACTTCGTGCCAGAAACTATTTATGACTAAATTGATGACAGGAACTTGCGCATGAATCAATCCTAGGAGTTAAAAGTTAAAATTGTTACATAAAAAGGCAAAGAAGGCCATTGTTCTGGAGTAAGCTCCTGCACTAGCCTCAAAGAATAGGCTAAAAATCAAAATGGAGTCACTCACGCTAAAGATCCATGTCACCAGCTGGAACTAAGCTGCTTATCTGACCTTCCCAGAAGCCAGGATTAGAGAGATGTCACGCACTTTCCCAGTAGGCCACTTCCAGTGGCTGGGGTGATGAAGTTCCCTTGGCAGTGAGATAAGAAAGCCAAACAGTAACCTGATGCTTCCAAACCCTCGATTTTCTATTGTTTGGTCTCCCTGGGCTCATCCTGCAGGGGAAGTGAGTTTAAAATGACTAGTCCTTTTGTTTCTGTCTTTCCCCCAATGGCCTTCTTTTGTCAGCTATGTCTTCTTCACCGATGGAACGTTTATTTACTTCTTGGAACTAAGTGTCGCCTGCTTCTAGAAGGGAAAAGAAAACCAGTTAAAATACTCAATCGTCGTAATTTTGTCGTTTGACAAAAAGATAGACGGAGTAAAATGCAATGGCCTGTGCCTATGGGCCTAGCATTTGAGAGATAGTGAGTTGGAGGCCATTTCAGGCTACATAGGGAGTGCCTGTGTGTGTGTGCATGCACGTGTTTGCGTGGGTGCATGTGTGTGTGTGTGTGTGTGTGTGTGTGTGTGTGCGCGCGCGCACCCATGCATGCACAAGTGCAGAGTCCAGAGCGTGTGTCACGTATCTTCCACTACAGTTCTCCTTATTGCCTTGAGACGGGTCTGTCACTGAATTGCAATCTTCTCACTGAATTGGAATCTTGCTGGTTTGGCTAGACTGACTGGCCTTCAAAGTCAGGACCCCATGCTTGCCGAGCAAGCACATTTACACACTGAGCCATCTTGCCAGCCCCCCATAGTTAGACCATTATTTTAGAGTATTTTTCCTTTCTATTTGTACAAGCAACTTTACTATAAAATCCTATGCCATACCAGCTCATGTTTGTGTAACGATAATGGATGAGCATTCCACAATGAGAAAAATCTCCTACCACGTTGCTCAGGGCATAAGCCCTATCCATACACCCAGGACTGATGTTTGAAAGCTTCTTCTCATATCTCCATATTTAGTAGTTTTGTTTGTTTGTTTTTTTCCTTCCACAAATGGGTTTCTGGGATGGGAATCAGATTCCCTTTTTGGACTGGCATGCTATGTTGCCCTGGTTTCTTTTGAGCTCCCACCATATCTCCAAGAGCCTATGCACCATGGTACCCTGATCTCAATTGAACGTATTCATTTTCTTTGTTCCTTCCGATATTTTTGCCTAGGAAGCCCAATGTCATCCTGACCCTTGATTCTTCATGAGAAATGTGTATTTTTTTCTCTTTGGAAAATTGCAGGATCTGTTTTAGGTGTCAGTGGCTTGTAGTTTCCCAGTGGTGTTGGGCTGTACCATTCATTGGGTTACGCACACAGAAGTCTGATCAGTCAGGAATGCCTTGTCTTGCAGCTCAGGGTAATCTCTATGGTTGTTCTGTGAGCAACCTGTCATCGTGTGTCTTTCCCATTTTGGAACTTTCGTGGTTTGGAGGGTGGCGTCGCCGGAGAGGTCATCTAGCTTGGTGCTGATTGGAATCTTTCTACCCCGACTCTACTTGTCTTTCGGGGTTACTAATCTCAATGGGACTTCATAGTGTTCTCTGGAGTTTTTTTTTTCTTTTTTATTGTGTTACTTTTTAGCTCCCAAAGGCTTTATAAAATCCTCTTCTCCTAAGACCCCTCCCCAACAGGATTTCTTAACCCAGATTGCCCCAAGACTTTTTATCACCCTGCCTCCATTCTCCAAATACTCTGCTGGGCTTTCAGACTGCAGTTGACTCTCAAATCTTTCTTTGTTATTAACTTTTTTCCCTTCTGGAGATTTGTTTCCTCTTCTCCTTTCTCCCTCCACCCTCTCTCCTTCCTTCCCTTCCTACCGACCTTTACCCCCCCTTCCTTTTTTTCTTGAGGTTAGGTCTTATTATGTAGCCCAGGCTAGCCTGGAACTCACAACGCTCTTGCCTTAGCTTCCTTTCTAGTACTGAGATTGCCAGTCCGTGGCCTTGTGCCCCCCTCCTCTCTCTGTCTGTAGCCCTGTCCCCCACCTCTCCCTCTGTGCATATTAAGATTACTTTTGGCAGGATGTTGACTGGTAACATTGTGTTTCCTTTTTGCTGTGTCCTCTCTCCCCATGGCATTCTGACGCCTGTTTCCTCAGGCATCTGTAATCCTTGGTTGTCTCTCCGTCTTTACAAGTGGATCCCTAAAAGAAGATTAGAATCTCAGTGGACATGGAACTGGCGCACACATTGACACTTTCCTTGTATACGCCAAGAAGTTTTATATAGTAGTAGGAAATCATGACAAAAAAAATTAAAAACCTTGAAAAAGTAGCAGGTGTATCAGCCACAATGGTTCCTAACTGTAATCATATCACTAGGGAGGTTATGGCAGGAGGAGCTACTTAGGCTCTTTATGAAGAACCTGTCATAAACAAACAGACAAGCAAACCAAACAAATATATGTATATGTTTACACACACACACACACACACACACACACACACACACACACTGCATGCTGGTTAGTTTAAGGGCAAAACTAACAGAGAATTAACACTTGGAGACTGGTTTTTATCTGACCTTCACTTTGTAGACTGGTTCTTATCTGACCTTCACTTTGTTATTCAATTGTCCTGAGTCACCATGGATACCCAATCCACAGATGCTCAAATCCCTTAGAGTAAACAGCAAAAAACCCCTGTGACCTATGTGGAGTTCCTTGTACACTTGTGTACTTAATCTCTAGATTACTTCTAATCTAGCACAATGCCCAGACTATGTACATAGGTGTTATACTATATTGGATGGGGAATAATGACAAGAAACGACAAGAATAACAATTCTGTGTGCCTCTAGTTTAGTTTTGGGTCTGTTGGTTGACTCTGCAAACACAAAGGACCAAGTGGCCATTGAGCATTTGTCTTTTTCCCCTTCTCTCTCTCTCTCTCTCTCTCTCTCTCTCTCTCTCTCTCTCTCTCTCTCTCTCTCTCTCTCTCTCTTTCTTTCTCTGAGACAGAGTCTCTTTATGTAGTCCTGGAGCTCCTTATGTAGACTGGGCTGGTCTTGAACTCATAGAGATTCTGGAGTGCTACAATTAAAGACATATGTTACCACGCCAAAACCATAGTTTCTTTTATATTCATTTGGTGGCATTCTTACAAGAGACACTGCAAACCCCAATTTGTTTTTAACAGAGACTTGTTATTCAGCTAGGCTGGCCTCAGATTCATGCCCATCCGCCTGCCTCAGTCACCAGAGGGCTGGAGATTACAGGTTTGTGCTATCATGCCCAGCTGGGGAGGTGTTTCTGATCTATCTTCTGTGGAGTATAATTCTTCCATCAGTACATTGAGAGCTGGGAGAGAAGACTCAGAGTCTCAGTATTTTGCTTTGTATATGTTCACTTAATCTCTATTTCCAGAATGGTCTCTGTTATGATTTGAACACAAAATGTTCCCCCTATGCTCATTTATTGAATGCTCAGTCCCCAAATGGCAGTGTATCTTAGGAGATGCTGGAGACTAGGAAGGAGGCCTTGTGGAAGGAAATGGGTCACTGGGGGTGTTCCTGTGAACATCGTACCAGGTCCCTAGTGTCTCCGTCACTCTGCTTTCTCTTCGCCATGAGGCGAACAGCTTCCTCCTGCTCACTTCCTGTCACTGTGATGTCCTACCAAGTCACCATGGGAATGAATGATTCTCAGAGTCAAACGAAAGGCTTTCCTTCCCTGAAGTTGTTCTTTCGGGATTTCTGTCATGGCGATATTGCAGCCACAGTTACCTAAATGTAACAAATACAGTCCCATTGCCCTTGATTTAGCTCGTTGTCTCCTGACTCGTAGATCGTCTCCTTGTTCTCTCCAGAGAATAATCCTCAGTGTTCTCCAGCAGTCAGGTGGGAAAGGGGGAGTTTGATGACTCTTCCTTTAACCAACTGTAAACAGAGGTTTCTCTGTCCTACCCTGTCCCAAGGCCACTTCCAAATAATGACTCAGAGGCTTATATTAATTATTAATGCTTGACCAAAAGCTCAGGCTTATTCCTAGCTAAATGTTACATTTAAATTAACCCATATTTCTATCTGTTTTGCCACATGGCTGAGGGCTTGTTACTCCACTATCTACACGTGCTGCTTGTTCGTCTGTTGGCTGGTATCTTTCTTGACTCCGCCCTTCTCCCTATCATTCTCAATTTGACTTTTCTGTCTAACTTTATCCTGCCTTATTAAACCAATCTTAGCATACT